AAAATTTTTGGCAGGAAAATTACTAACTCAAGAACCAGAAAATTTGGAAAACTGAAATTTCAACGATTCGTTCCCCGTCCACACTTTCCTGATTTCGAGGACCACTATTTCACACATTTCTAGCTGCTGGGTTCCGAGCGATCTCATTACAGCGTGAAATGTTGCAAAAACGCACGATCGCACGGGCCCGCCTAGTGCGCGTCACCAATGATTTTTATTTCAAAACTATGCCATCGGTTGCAGATCCATATGTAAAAATCTACCTGATGATGCAAAACAAGCGCCTAGAAAAGAAAAAGACGACAATCAAGATGAAAACGTTGAATCCCTATTACAATGAGTCGTTCAGTTTTGATGTCAGCCCGGAAAAGATGCAGGTTTGTTTACTCACCCAAAAGGCTCAAACAATAAAGATTTTCCTGCCGAAATTTGCTGTTGACTGTTAATTCACAATTTCAGGCTCAGTCAATTCTGCATAAAGATTTGCCTTTTACGGTCCTGAACCTAGTAACTGTTCTCTAGATCTTGAAAGAAAAGACACCCGATATTATGGCGAAATGAAAGTGAGCAAGCGTGGGATCAAATCCATTAATGCCAGTGCCTGTCCCTCGTAGTTTTGAAGCTGAATAAAGCGATTAAAAAAATACATACAGATATCTATCACTCGCTGGTGATAATGAATTCTGGCTGACATAAGCGATTTGAAATCGAAAACTATTTCAAAGGAGAAGTGTGGAGAGGGGTGTTTCGTGCTTTCTGTCCTTCTAGCTACCCTAAAAGTTTCTGTTTGACAGCTTTTCGTTTATTGTTATATAAACAATCGGTTTGTTTTGCAGCGTGTTCATTTGCAAGTGACAGTATCAGATTACGATCGCGTCGGATCCAATGAGCGTATTGGACACGTTATCATTGGTAGCAATGCCAGTGGTGTAGCACTAAAGCAGTGGCAAGACATGCTTGCAACACCCCGCCGTTCAGTGGCGCAATGGCACACCCTGGCGCCCTTCAACGATGATTGAGTTCATTTCTCTCGCCATGTATATTAACCCTTTTTGGTAAGTCTGGTGCCTGAATGCACCGGTAGTTTTCAAATGCTTTTCATGTGTCTTTTCCATTGTCTGCTTATTATTAACACATTGTAACTGGATCGCATTAATTGTATAAATGTTTTTTCCGTAGTATTTTAGCTCTGCAACTAAAAAAAAATGTAACTTTTGAGCCATTGTTCGTGTGCGCCGAGGATCTAAAACAGAATTTCAAACGCTGCTCTGTCTTGACTTCCGACCTCAAGTCTAAAAACTCGGAGAGACAGAAAGCCATAAATTTAGGATTTCGGAGCACTGGGATATAGTTTATTGCGAAGCAATGGAGAACCTTTCAATCAAGCTATATCCTGATTTATGCTAGTTTAAACCTGGACTGTGCTAGAACACTAGGGTGGAGAAAATTTAAAATTCAGTGACTTAAGTAGTTCGATTTGCTGCTTTTTTTTTTTTTTTTGTAAAGACTCAAACTGGGTCTTTCATTT